GAAGGAAGGAAGGAAGGAAGGAAGGAAGGAAGGAAGGAAGGAAGGAAAGAAGGAAGGGAGGGAGGGAGGAAGGAAAAGTTAATGTTGCCATTTCTTAGCTCACTGCATTATACATTGCTGTGACCTTTAAGATTCAGGGGTATATAAGCATAGAAAAATGAAAGAATGGCCCTTTTAATAAAGTAAATATATTAACACCGTTGTTAAGGTGAGAACACTGTACTGTAATTTAAACCAAAATAACTTGTTTGAATAAAATTGCTATTGTTTAGAAAGAGCTCTGAGTAAATAAATGGCCTTGGGTAAGACAGGCTAGGTCTATTATCAAAGCTATGAGAAGAAAACCATGACTTAAATCTAAAACAAGCAGAAAGGAGGTGTAAGCTGCTCAAATAGACACCTTCCCAATTTGCATATGTATAAGAAGGAGGGGTGGTAAAACATCCTCAGACTTGCAAAATTGTGTTCTTTTAACCACTCTCAATGAAGTAGCCTTAACCTTCCTGTGACATTTGATATTCTAGTTAGGGTTCCCCAATTTGACAACTTTAAGACTTGTGGACTTCAACTCCTAGAATTTCTCAACCAGCCATACTGACTGAGGGATTCTGGGAGTTGAAGTCCACAAGTCTTAAAGGTGCCAAGTTTGGAGTCACTTGTCCTAGTCAGTTCTACCTGATGGGGCTGACAAACATAAGAGGAAACAAGAGTTATGCAACTGTGCTGATGGCAGCTGAGGAGAAAGATACTAATGATTTAATGCATAATATGCTAAAAGAATTCTGTCTGGTTCAGGAGCTTTTGCCACCTCAGATCAATCAAGAGCAGAGAGCAGTAAGTTGTCTTACCAGGCTTTCGTATTCTTCCATATTTTCACTCTCTCCTGCAGTGCTGCTGAAACTGCTGGTACTTGAGGATGAACGGGAAATATTTGACTTTCCATTCTCTTTGAGCTTAATGAAAGGCCTGGCAGAAAGTGAGAGAAAAACAGAAATGCATCAGGAGGCATATGTTAGGATTCCCCAACATCCACATTTCCATGTGTGGAAGAAAACCCAGGTCTTCGTGGCCTTTTAGAAGGCTAAGAATGTCAAGACCATGCAGAGACAAACCCAGGAAAAGGAGCACCTTCCTCTCACTCCACAAAGAAAAACCTCAAAACAATCCCACAGCTAAATTATACCCAGACTGGAAAAGAAAGGAGAATTTGCAGAAAGGACATCAACTACAAGTTGACATTGTCTGTATAATTCGTCCCTTTGTTCCTCCGACCCTGAAGTCAATAGATGACTCCAACAAGCAGAGGATGTATTCCAAGAGTCAGAAAAGCCGCCTCCACTCCACCATTCGCTTGCATCGTTTTTGAGTTTGTTTGCTTGTTTGTTTGTTTATTGATTTGATTTGTCAATCACTTACAAGATAATATGTATAAGTATAAACTTGAGTAAGAATACAGGAAATAGGTACGAATAAATGGACAGGGACGGTAGGCATGATGGGGCACTTATGCACGCCCCTTACAGACCTCTTAGGAACAGGGTTATGTCAATAGTGGATAGTTTGAAGGTAAAGGAGTGCAGTGGGGTTAGAGGATGTAACAACAGAGTCAGGTAGTGCATTCCAGGCACTGACCACTCTGTTGCTGTAGTCGTATTTTCTGCAATCAAGTTTGGAGCGGTTTACGTTGAGTTTGTATCAATTGTGTGCTCTTGTATTGTTGCAGTTGAAGATGAAGTAGTCATTGACTGGTAGGACATTGTAGCAGATAATTTTGTGTACTACACTTAAGTTCAACTGTAGGTGGCGTAGTTCAAGGTTGTCTAAGCCCAAAATTTCAAGCCTGTTGATATAGGGTGTTTTGTTGCGAGCAGAGGAGTGTAATACTCTTCTCGTGAAATACTTCTGGACTCACTCCATTGTATTAATGTCCAATATACAGTGCGGATTCCAGACAGATGAGCTGTATTAGAGTATCCATTGATTCCTGAAAACTTTAGTGGTGGATCGTCTCACGTGTGAAATGGTGAGTCCACAGCTTTTAGTGGATGTCACTAACCTGAATCCCAGAAAATCATGACTCCATTTGAATGCCATCAACCAATGACTTTAAAATTGCACCTTGCTTTTACCTCTCTTTGTTGGGACAGATTTCCGGAGAGCTTGGGTTGGAGGAAGCCTCTGATTTCATATCAAGGGAGGAATGCCCTCCATCGGGGGTTTTGGGTGTTCCTGAGCCACTGTCACTAGGGAGAAAGGGATCAACAGAAGAGAATTAAAGCAGCCCCAGCATAAACTTAGATACCACCCAAAAGAGACCATAAAAAAATAAACCAGAAGGAAACAAGACTACAGCACATCTTCTCCAGTTAAACGGGGATTAACGCCAGACAATCAATCAAGCAGAAAACTATACCCTAATGAAGGAACTACCAAGGAGAAAACCACATCCCCGCAAAAACTGGCAGGGCAAACTAATAAACCCACTATTCACTAGCACTGATGATGTTACCTAGTTGGGTCATAAAACTTCTGCAAGCAAGCAGTCAAGCCCAGAGACCACCAGAGAGACTACAGAATAAAGGGAAATAGTGTACTGTGGATACCATCATCACAATTATCAGGTTTAGCATAAACAACCCAGTGAAACAGATAAACTGTAAGAGTGACTAACCCCAGACCACCTTCTAAACTCCTATGGATATTCTGGAGAGAGAGATAAGTTCAGCACCAGTCTGAAACATGGAATAATAAACTTTATCATGGGACACAAATAGTTATTTTCATTCCTACAGATATGTTTGGACCTGAATTTAGGTCTCCTGGTTGCTATCCATTGTCACAGCCGTGATTCTTGCATTGGCTATCTATTTCTAGCCTCAGATCCAAGCCACCAAGATCCTGTTGTCCCAGTTTTCAAACTGTGATATAGGAAGAGGGTGGTTTAGAGTCTCCTCAAAGGAAAAATTAATAGGAGTATCTTTCTTTTCCACACTGCAAATTGATACAACAAATCTAGGACAATCCAGATGATGGGTTTCTGGGTGCCAGCCAAAGCTAGGAACCAAAAAGACTACAATCTAGGGACTGAATATATGAAAAGGAAGAGGGGCACACTTTTTCTTCTTCTGTTCTTTTTTCTTACAGCAAACAAAGATGTCCCAAGGGTGTTTTTTCATAGGCAACTGGACTTTTTGTTTTTTTTCTTTGAAGATGTTTCGCTTCTCATCCAAGAAGCTCCTTCAACTCTGACAGGATAGTGGGGAATGGAAGGATTTAAGCTCCTTGAAGACAGCTGGTCATTTGCATCCTTTTAGAGGGTCATTGAAGCACTAGGAGGTTTAGCTGTGTCCTCAGGGTCACCTGAGTGGTGCTCCTGGTTCCTGTAGTCTGCAATTTTTTTCTCTGGAAATCCATTCCTACTCTCATTCTTACTCCTTGTTCTGCAAGAAGCATAAATCCTTCCATTCCCCACTATCCTGTCAGAGCTGAAGAAGCTTCATGGATGAGAAGCGAAACATCTTCAATGAAAAAACAAGACCAAACTGTCTGTGTTGGCCACAATCCAAAGGCGAATTGAATTGCTCAAAGCAAAGCTTTGGCTACAGACACATATAGTAGTTAGATAATCAGTTATGAGTTATGAATAAAAGAAGCACTAAGCCTGCTTAAACTAAAACCTGTTTGTTTACTTATAAAAAAGCTTGTGTTAATGCCGTGTTTCCCCCAAAATAAGACCCTGTCTTATATTTTTTTTGCCACCAAAAAAGGCACCAGCTCTTAATTTGGGGGAATGTCCTCCATTGACCAACCTCATTTGCATGCGTCACCCCTTTTCTCTATCAGAGGCCTTCAGGGACTTCTGCAGCCGACAAGGCTTTCCTGAAGGCCTCTGCAGACGATAACAGAACTCTTGATTGATCCAGAGCTTTCTTATCAGCTACAGAGGCCTTTGGGAAAGCCTTGCCAGCCTTGCCGGCTGCAGAAGAAATGGGCCAGCAAGGCAGGTGTTGGGCTGTGCGAGGCCTGGCTACAACTATCCAAAGGTACGTAGTAGGACAGCTCCACCCCCATATCCCCATCCTAGCTTAATTTTTACCCATACACTCTGGAGTGGGAGGGATCTTAATTAGGGCTTATTTTGTGGGGTAGGTCTTATATTGGGCATACATGTAAAAATCAAGCTAGGACTTACTTTCAGGGTAGGTTGTATTTTCGGGGAAACAGGATATATATGTTCACTGGGTTGTTTAACAACTCAATAGTTTAATATTTTGACATTTTATTCACTAAAAATAAATTCAGTATATCCATTATAGTAATTTTCTGAATTAGTTTTCAGCATACAACACTTAACAATTTGAGTAATCTAGTAGTTCTTTTTACAATGCGTTATAATTTGATCCATTTTATTTCCAACAATTATCTAGACAACCTTAATGCAACTTAACTGGAGTTCCGTAACCCTTTTGTAAAACTGCAAATGTGGGCCGTGAGCGTAGTCAAGGCAACGAATTCGTTATCTCATACCTAATTCATCCCATGTTAGAGATTTTGGAATATCAAACCACAGTTTTCTCAAGCAAAAACTCTCAGCGTCAAACAGAATCTGGTTTAGCAACTGCTACCGCAAAGAATCTAAGATACACAGGTAGTCCTTGACTTACAATCATTTCGTTTACTGCCATCTGAAGTTTCGGTGGCACTGAAAAAAAAGCAACTCGTGACCATTTGTCACACTTACAACCAAGATGGCAGATCCATGATCAAGGCTCTAAGATGATCAGGGGCCTGGAGACTAAAACACATGAAGAACAGCTGCAGAATTTGGGTTTGGCTAGTCCAGGAATCAGCAACCTTAAACACTCAAAGAACCACAAAGGTCCTAACCGGAAGCTTCCTGGAGCTGACCGGAAGTCCGGTTCCCCCACCTGTCCTAACTGAAAGCCCTATCAATTGTGGAGCTGACTGGGGACAGGGAGCCACAGCAGAGGGATGAAAGAGCCACATGCGGCTCCAGAGCCTCAGGTTGCTGACCCCAGGCTAGTCTAAAGAAAAGAAGGACGCGGGGAGGGGCGCATGTTAGCATTATTCCAGTATTTATGGGGCTGCCACAAAGAAGAGAGGGTCAAATTATTCTCCAAAGCACCAGAAGGCAAGACAAGAAACAATGGTTGGAAACTAATCAAGGAGAGCAGCAACCTGGAATTAAGGAGAAACTTCCTAACAATTTATCAGTGGAATGACTTGCCTCCAGAAGTTGTGAGGGCTCCATCACTAGAGGTTTTTAAGAAGAGACTGGACAGTCACTTGTCTGAAATGGTTCTCCTGCTTGAGCAGGGGGCTGGACTAGAAGACCTCTAAGGTCGCTTCCAGCTCTATTCTATTCTAATTCTAAATTTAGATGACTGGCAACAGATTCATATTTATGACGGTTGCAGTGTCCCAGGATCATGTGATCTCCTTCTGTGACCTTCTAACAAGCAAAGTCAATGGGGAAGCCAGATTCACTTAACAACCATGTTATTAATTTAACAAGGTCATAACATGGGGCAAAACTCACTTAACTGTCTTCTTAGAACCAGAAATTTCAGACTAAATTGTGATTGTAAATTGAAGACTACCCATATATGACAAGCTCTGCTGGATTAGGCCAAGATCTACGATGGACCAATATCTGCTTTCTACAGTGGCCAACTGGAGCCCCACAAGCAACAGATGAAGCCATATTGCTTTTTCACTTTCCATGTTACTAATTCCACCTCCAACTAGTATTTGGAGCTATGCTGTCCTCAATCCTGAACTAATATTAATAGATAAGATTTATCCTCCAGGAACTTAACCAATTCCTTTTAAAAACTATCCAGGTAAATGGCCGTTACCACTTCCTAATCCAACATTTAACCCGGGCTGGGCGATTAATTTTCCCAAAGGGCAACAAAACAAACCAGAATAGACAGGACTTCCACAAGAACTTGGAGTTGAAAGAACTTCTTTGCTTCCTGCAAAGAACCCAACCCCTGAGGGCTGGCTTTTATCCCTTAAAAGCCTTGCAGCCTTACTCCCAAGTCACCCGTGCTGCTGCAGCTGCTTTTTCCTTCAAGCAGCCCTGCGCACATGCGCACTGGGCACAGGCTCCTTGGGGTCTTCTGCATCACTGCTGCCAGACTCCACAAGCTCCGAAGGCAGCACCCCACTCGCCGATAGTCCTGGCCCCATCCCTGCATCACACGCAGGCCCCTCATCCGAGTCCTCGCTCTCAGAGACCTCAGCCATCCGCACCTGCTGCCGGCGAACCACAACAGTTGTAGGGGATGACCAGGTACAATGAAAATATATCTGCTCAAGCTCCGCATTGGGGACAGGAAGGGCATCCGGCCAGTAAACGCTCTGTTAGCTCCATTCAGTTGCACAGACTCCACCTCGCAAGGGATTATGGAGTCATTAAATAATGATGATGATGCATGATTCTTTAAAGCACAATCATGTTCTCCCCCGAAGCTGCCGTTTCTCTAAGCTAAAACATTCCAAAGTCCCCAATACAAGGCACCACATGCATAAACATATATATATATGGAATTACCATCGGCTCCGGGGTTCTGCTTGGCTTTCGGATCCAGTGTGCAAACGGGGAAATAAGCCCGATCGCCTCTTTATAGGACTCCTTGATTGATTCTTGGCTGTTGCTGCTGCTAACGGAGGCTGAAGAAAGAAACAATTGATCCCAAGTTCTGTGCAAACATCCTTAGCAATCATTTACATTCTACATTTTCTTGCATGGAAATCTCTGTTCGTTCTATTGCACAGCGCAAGATCCTCGAGAGGAAAGCTGAGCTGAGAGAGAATGAGTCACCAATTCAAAGCTGCCATAGCTGAATGACAGCTTGAACCTAGATAACTTATCCAACTTCAACACCTCAACCACTACATTACATGTAGTCCTTGACTTACAACCATTCGTTTAGTGACTGTTCTAAGTTACAAAGGCACTGAAAAAAAGTGGCTTATGACCATTTTTCACAGTTATGACCTTTCCCATGGTCAAATTTTGAACACTTGGCAACTGGCTCCTATTTTGCAACTTCCGACAAGCGATCAATGGGGAAGCCAAATTCACCTAACAACTGTGTTTACTAACTTGACAACTGCAGTGATTCGCTTAGCATCTGTGGCAAGAAAATGGGACAAAATTCACTTAACAACTGTCTTGCTTAGCAACGGAAAATTTGGGCTCAACTGCAGTTGCAAGTCAAAGACTACCTGTACACCATATCTTCTTAAATTCTATTTGTATACATCCTTCCATTGAATTTGGCCTCTTTGGTACCCTTTCTTCCTATAATTAAATGTCACCATTCAGTCTGTAAGCATTGTGAGGCAGAGATCATACTGTGTTTATGTGTACAGAAAGAGAAAGCACGTGGAAAATTCATGGAGTTGAGCAATCCAGATATTTGCTTTTGAAAAAGCAATCAAGATTTAAAACAAAGAAAGTGATGTTTGGAATGTCACAGGCCATAGCAGAGGTGGTGTTCAGCAGGTTCTGACCAGTTCTGGAGAACCGGTAGTGGAAATTTTGAGCTTCTGTGGTCATATGGAGAGTATGACTATAAGCCGAAGTGTATGGAACACTGTTACTTTCCCATTGAAGAGGTACCTATTTATCTACTCGCATTTGCATGGTTTTGAGCAGGGGTGGGAGCAAGGACAGGAGCTCACCCCATCAAGCAGCACTTGAACTCGAACTGCCAACCTTTCGGTCAACAAGCCCAGCATCTTAACTACTAGACTGGGTGTCAGCAACCTGTGGCTCTGGAGCTGCATGCGACTCTTTGGGCCCTCTGCTGTGGCTCCCTGTTGGATGATCCTACCACTGGCTGGCCCCACCCCTCACCCTCCCTTCTCAGTCACTTCTCCTCTGGCGTGAGAAGATAAAACACAGAAAACGGAAATCAGAGGGGAGGGAGGGAGACCCACTTCCCACAGAAAACACTGGGAGCCACAAAACCTGGATAGGCATGGGGAGGTCATGTGACTGGATGCGAGTGACATTGAGTTGGCCACACCTACCCAGGTTTTGAGGCTCCCAGTGTTTTCTTTTCTGTGGGAAATGGGTCCAAATGGCTGGATGTTTAATGTTGCAGACCCCTGTACTAGACTATTGAGAGAGGTACCTATTTATCTACTTGTATTAGCATGCTTTCAAACTTCTAGGTTGGCAAGAGGTGGGACAAGTAACGAGAGCTCACCCCTTCATGCGGCACTCGGGTCTTGAACCCAGGCTTTCAACTTCAGCTGACAAGCTCAGCGTCTTTAACCGTTGAGCCATCATGTCCCCTTCCCTTCTTTTGGACTGAGCTAAATTGTTCTAAATTGCATGGCACTTACAGAGAAGGTGGTCTTGGTTATTTCAACACTGTTGTGCACAATCCCGCCACTCAAGCTCCCAGGGATTCCTCCAGGCTGGTGCTTCTTCTGGCTTCCTACCATGGTTTCCATGGAGTGGCTGCGGACGCGGATCGCTCTCTATTGGATGAAATAAGAGGAAGGTCAAGATCAGGACTGGAAACATTTGGACGTTGTTGTTTTGTTTATACCCAAGCATAGCTGGACAAAGCACAGTCATCTCTGAATGAGATCCTTGCATACACAAAAAAGGCGCCCTCCATGCAGAAGAAGGGAGGATTAGGAAAACATTTTTCAGTCTGAAGGAGGTTATGATTGGATGTTTGCAACCCAAAATAAGACCTCTCCACACTGTGACATTTACTTGCAGATCCTATGCATATTTATACACTGACTTGTATTTATAGATTTACTGATTAGCTGAAAATCAATCCATGCAGCCTCCTAACTGAACATTAAGTGTTGGTTCAAATTCCTGATCTTTGACCAGTCTGTCTCTCTCTCTCCCTCCTTCTCTCCTTCCCTTCCATCTCTCTTTGAGGTCCTTGGTGACTGGTTGTTTTCTTAGAACTTAGAATCACTTTATTGTCACTTTGAATGCACTCTAATCAGCATGTATTAACATGAAAATTCATTGCATACACAAAGGGTCACCACTGCCAATATACACTACATAGATATGACTAAAATTATGCACATACCCACATATATTATATGACACAAAATTATGCACATACCCACGTATATTATATGACACAGAGAAACAACCGAGTCTAGTTCAGATGTAATCAAGTACATGGCGAGAAAAACAAATCTTGCAAGTATACCAGACGCATGGCCTAGGGGAAAAAACCTGCTATGGAATCTGGTAGTCCTGCTAGAAATACTTCGAAACCTCCTCCCAGAGGAGATCATCAGAAACGCACCATGAAGTGGGTGTGTGGGGGTCTAACGATGCTTTGAGCTCTAAGCTCATATAACTTATAAGCAGTATCCTGAATAACAGGAAGTGAGCTTCCTATAATCTTCTTGGCTGTCCTTACGACTCTCTGTATGGACTTTCTATCTGAGGGACTGCTGCCACCAAACCAAACAGGGATGCAGTGTGTTGCAGATGTTTCTGCAGTGGACTAATGAGGTTATCCGATTGGGCAATGAAATATCGGCAAGAAAATAACCACACTCGGAGAGCACCCTCCACAGTTCCCTTTTTGGTACCCCTCTCTTTCTCATCAACACCATGCTTTTCTTATTGTTGTTATTTTTTTTGCTAATATTCATACTAATACTAAACTTGGGCCAATATTCTAGAGTAGAACATGGTTATTCATATTAAAAAGAGGTCGATGTCAGGTGCAAGCAACCAGAACCACTTGTGGATAGGCCCAAACAGATACTTTATTGCTGATTCACCTATATTACAAGAATCTTGCTTGTCCGTCTTCCCCTGGGAAAAGACAGATAGATATAAACCTAAAGTTTTGATCTTAGACCTTTCCTCCCTCAAACAGACTCTAAGCTGGAATGTTTCTTTACTCCCACTGGCAGGGCTCCCTCCCACTTCAGTCAGTGGCTCCACATCAGTCACCCAAAATACAGGCTGCATCTGCACAATGGTCTTGACTTGGTTGTTGAATTAACCCATTCTAGGGGTCTGCACGACATCTTGTACTATAAGTTCCCATATACAGTATTAAGCAAGGCTCATTTTCCATTCCCCTTGGAGAGGAACGCCTTGAATGGAGCCAGGGGTCCCAATGCAAAGTTTTCCAGTGATTTCCGACTTGCAATGTTTTAAGTTAAAATCTCTCTTCTGTCAACCTCAGTCACTGGTTACAACAGCCATGTGGGATTATTTGGCACAGTGCAGAAACTTTGCTATTGTTTTCTTTCCAGTTCAGCTACAACCTTCATGGCCTCCCATAACCAGATTCTGCTTGGTGCTGGAACCTATTGTAGACCAGTTAACTTGAAAGCCTCACAATGCACTGCTGTAATCTACTTCGATTGGCTGCAACAATGCCGCATTAACCACGGAGAAACAGCTCACTGGACAGCGTATGGAAAACCGTCCCTGTGCATTTCAATACAGTTAAACCTAAAGCTGAAATTGAGTGCGTTCTGAGGCTAAATACAACAGGGAGAACAAAGCAAAAAATGTTTGCCATAGATCTATAGGAACAAAACTTTCTCAAGGTCCTGTTTTAAAAAGAGAAAGCAGATCAAGCGGAAAAGAATTCCATGGGCAAAGACCTATTAGAGAAAAAGCATAAAGAAAGGCATTCTTTTATTACATAAGAGTGCCTAAACAACCTTGACATTGGTATAAGAAAAAAGGAGCCAGGATAGAGTACAAAAGCACAGCAAATTTATTCCATGCAACCTATACACAAAAATCTGATCCGCTAACAGTCAATGCAAATTGGTGTCAGATAAGAGTCAACAAATTTTAAGGAGGTGGGCTTAGATTTCTCTTGGAGGCCTAGGTACTTCAGACTGATGATGCGTTTGGGTTCAGCCTGGTCGTCTCCTACACACGTCTTAAGTTTCCAAATGTGCTCATCACTTCAAATTGCCTATCTTGGTTCTTACTGTTTGGTTGCATTTCTCCAAACCCTGCAGTCCCAAAGATGCTTTTTTAAAGAGGACTTTCTGGTTTTGCTTTGAAGACATTTTGCTTCTCATCCAAGAAGCTTCTCCAGCTCATTCCAGTTGCCTCTTGAAAAAGCACCTTTGTGTGACAACCATGACCTGGATGGTGGGGATTCTCCATTGCAGTCCTTTACATTTTTGTCAGGCCCAAACCCAAAGATGACCCAGCAAAATCCAATCAAGTCCATTCATTTGCTTATACCCAATGGACAGAATCTTGCCAAACTAAAGCTATAACCTTTTAACCTACTAGATACAGCATATCCTGAGAGATTCTAGGGTGTGGCTATCCTGAATCTCTTCCCTCCTCCTCCATTTAGCTCGGGACTGCACAGTCTCTTATTCAGGACCTCTTGCTGGGAAAAACCTGTGTTGCCAAAAATCCCCCACTGCTCCCTCAGGTACATTTTCCATCACAATCTCTCTTAAACTAAACAAAAAATAAACTTATTCACTGAATCTCATGAATGGTTAAAGAGTTGATTCAAAAGACAGGCCTTCTAAAGCCAACCTGAGTGGGACTCAAATCCAATTTCCAAGGACAAGTGTTTCGTAGTTTGAACAAGACACGGATGAAGGTGGTGCTGTCCAGTAATCTTCATACTGTAAACAGGTTTTTGAGAAGGTAAGCACCTTCAGAAGAACCTCTCTGGCAGATCACAAAAGGATGTGGTCCTTCTCGTTGATGTATCGATTTTGGGGGGTTTTTCAACTATGCATGCCATCTGACACATTGTCTGATACACTAGATACTGAAGACATCCTGAGCCAGTGTTACTCAAACTTAGCAATTTTAACAAGTGTAGACATCATCTCCCAAAATTCACCAGCTAGCAGGCTTTAAGATATGTGAACTTCAAGAAGAAGAAGAAGAAGAAGAAGAAACAACAACTGCCTTAAGGTCTTGAGATACCTAGAAGGTTGATATTCCAAGCTCTTAAAATTGTCGTCAGAAATCAACCCTGATAATTATTTATTATAATAAATATAGGGAATATAAATAAAGGGAATATTTATAGTTCTGGTTTGAACTGTGGAGTCCTTGGTGCTCTTTGAGCATGGTTGTTTGCTTGCAGGAATAGCCCAACTAGGTACCATATTAGTGTGGAGTGTGTTCCCTGTTTATATATAGTAGCTTGCCCTGTCAGTGTTGGTGGGACTGTCATTTTCTCCTTCATAGTTCCTTGATTGTTTTTTGCTTGCTTATCTGGATGTTAGCTGTTGGAAATGATATACAGGTAATCCTGGACTGACGACCAAAGTACAGCCCAAAATTTCAACTGCTAAGCAAGGCAGTTAAGTGAGTTTTGTCCCGTTTTACAACCAGTTTTGCCACAGTTGTTAAGCACCTCATGCAGTTGTTAAGCAAATCTGGCTTCCCCCATTACTTTGCTTGTGGGAAGTTACAGATTACAGATTAACAGAGTTGGAAGAGACCTTGCAGGTCATCTAGTCCAACCCCCGGCCCAAGCAGGAGACCCTACACCATTTCTGACCAATGGCAGTCCAGTCTCCTCTTGAAAGCCTCCGATGGCTGCAGATGGTGATCTCATGACCCCATTCATTCTCAGGAATACATGCTGGTTGCCAAGTGCCGAAATTGTGACGTGACCGTGGGGATGCTGCAATGATCAAAACTGTGTGAGGACCGGTTATAAGTCACTTTTTTTTCCAGTGCTATTGTAATTTTGGTCACCAAATGAATAGTTATAAATCCAGGACTATCAAACCAATGGTTGTAAGGCAAAGACCGCCCGTATTCCAGTCTTTTCATTTCCTTCTTAACTTCTTGTTTTGAATGGTTTATAAATAGGGTTGATTGCCATGTGTCTATTGAGGGCTGATTTGTCTGAATGCCAAGCTTCCGAAAATTTTAGATTTGGCTTAGTCTAGAATATTCACAGCTTTCCAGTTGAAATCATAGTTGAATCGGTCCATGTGTTATGAGTTTAAGGAGTGTTCACTGTGTGTTCTGGCTGCAGAAGTGAAATCAGAGGGCATCCATGAACTGCAGTGCACATCCCTGAACCCCAACTGGCAGTCAAAAGACAGGATGAAAACTACTTAAATTCACAATAAATGGACAGACTCCATCATAGCTAGTGAGATGGAACTGGTGAGTGTAGACTGATAATTCAGTGAGTCATGTAACTATCTAAGCATGGTACCCACTTCTGACCAACAGGTTGCGAGCACAGAAGAGTTCCGTTACCAGAGGTGGTATTCAGCAGGTTCTGACCAGTTCTGGAGAACCGGAAGCAGAAATTTTGACTCTTTTGGAGAACTGGCAAATCCCACCTCTGACTGGCCCCGCCCCCATCTCTTCTCTGCCTCCTGAGTCCCAGCTGATCAGCTGGGTCTTCTTTGGTTGCCCTGCACAGGAGAACGGAGCTGGGAAGCAGGTTAGTGGGGTGGGGAGGGAATGGGGATTTTGTAGCATCCTTCCCCTGCCACGCCCACTAAGCCAC